AGAGAAGTTGTTTGATAACATCCACAATTGGCAAGTATATGAGAAAACAGACACACTTATATACTATGACTGCAATGATATACTGGTCTAACTTTTAAAGAAGACAATTTTATTAAAGCAACAGCTATCAAAATTTTGAATGCGCGGGCCGGCCCGGTGGTGCACTGGAAAGTGTGCCATGGTGGCGCTCCCACCGAGGGTTCGGATCCCATGTGGAGACCGGTTCCCGCTCACTGGCTGAGCGCGGTGCGGGCGTGACACCGAGGGTTGCGATCCCATTACCGGTCAGTAAAAAAGATAAAAAGGAAAAAAAAAATTTTTTTTTTTAATGCATCCCCCTTCAAACCCAGGAGTTCCACTAGTGAGGAGTTTAATTTGGGGAGTTTAAGTTTGAGTCAACACAATCAATATAAATCTCTCAATATAAAAATTACCCTTTAAGTCATTTCAACCTCAGTATGAACAAACTGAAATACCTCAGGGTAGTCCATAGCAATATCTCTAACTAACAGCATTTCATAGTGTCTTTTTTTCATATTACTTTGCATATACGTCTTGGGTAGCATGACTAGTTTTGGTGCACTATTTTCTCCCTTGAAACTTCTCTTTGCCAAACACGTAGGTAGATTGGTGAAATCATCAAATATACTGATAGTTGGACTCATCTTACTAAGAATTCACATTACGTATAAACTCACAAAAGTACAGACATGCATCGCTTAACGAAGGGGCTACATTCTGAGAAATGCATGATTATGCAACTCCACCCCTGTGCGGACATCACAGAGTGCACTTACACATACCTCAATGGTATCACCTACTACACACCTAGCCTATATTGTATAGCCCATTGTAATGTTATGTGACCACTGTCATAAGGACCATGAGGTCCTTAATGGACAGAAACCTCCTAAACATTGTTAGGAGGTGTGTGACTCCAATACTCCAATATGTGTACGAAGATTTTCACTACAACATGGTTCAAAATAGAAAAAAGAAGGAAACAACCTAAATGCCCATCAATGTTTTTTTTAAAAAATCAACCTACTAAAAACTATATCCTATTAAAAAAGAATGACAAATGTATAAATATGGAGATGGAAAAACCCAAAATATATTATCAGGTGATAAAAGCAATGTGGGAAAATAAGCCTCTCAGTATGACTCCATTACAGTAAAATTTCCTCCTAAGGATAAACAAACTCTCACCAACTATTTACTTCAGGCAAAAAAGACTGGCTATTTGCAGGAGAAAAGAGAGTTTTTATTTTTTCACTATTTACTTCCTGTAGTGCTTCCTTTTTTTTAATTTAGGTGGCAGGTCAGGAAGCAGAGGCAATTCAAATCTAATGACCTCAATTCATTACTACTATTACTACTACCACTAATGATAATAATAATAATAATAGCAGCAACAACAATTATAAAGATAACAAAACAGGGATAACAATAATAGCAAAAATAATAAGACAATAAGCATAAACCAGTACTATCACAAATAAACTAAGATATATTGCTACCCTACTTACGCTATTGTTATCTTCATTTCTCATTTTATAAATGAGAAAATTGAGCCTTAGAAGGTTGAGCTCTCAAGACAGAAAGCGCTTCTGTGAACTATACTACATCCTTCCATGAAATGAGTAAGGACATCTCCTACATCAGTGAAGTTAGTACAAGTTGAACAAATTTGAAGAGAGAAGCAAAATTTACATACTCGATTGGGAGAAGTTAATTTAAGGGACTGTTCATGTGCTAGCAAAGTTTGTAAATGATGACTCTGTAAGATATCAACCTATATAAACTGTGAGATTATTTAACAATCATTCAGTTGTCCAGGTATAGAAAGAAGGATTCCTAGTACCATCAAATAATCCATATCCCATCAACTATACAGTTACCACATGCCTTGAAATAGAAATAAATACAGCAAATAGATTAAAAGTAAATCTCCAAAAAACTGTTTTAAAGTACCAAAAATACACAGATAAAAAACATAAGAAATTTTGCTGCTCATTTGTAATTTTTTTTTTTTTTTTTTTTTTTTTTTTTTTTTTTT